CGCACGCGCACGCACACGCACAAGCACAAGCACAAGCAGAAGCACACGCACAAGCACAAGCACAAGCACAAGCACAAGGGCAAGCACAAGCACAAGCACAAGCACAAGGACAAGCACAAGCACAAGCACAAGCACAAGCACAAGCACAAACACATACGCACGCGCACGCGCACACACACACACTCCACTCCACTCCACTCCACTCCACTCGACTCCACTCCACTCCACTCCCACTCCCACTCCCACTCCCACTCCCACTCCCACTCCCACTCCCACTCCCACTCCCACTCCCACTCCCACTCCCACTCCCACTCCCACTCCCACTCCCACTCCCACTCCCACTCCCACTCCCACTCCCACTCCCACTCCCACTCCCACTCCACTCCCACTCCACTCCACTCCACTCCACTCCACTCCACTCCACTCCACTCCACTCCACTCCACCCCACTCCACTCCACTCCACTCCACTCCACTCCACTCCACTCCACTCCACTCCACTCCACTCCACTCCACTCCACCCTTCCCCTCTCCCCTCCACTCCACTCCCCTCCCCTCCCCTCCCCTCCACTCCACTCCACTCCACTCCATTCCACTCCACTCCACTCCACTCGACTCCACTCCACTCCACTCACTCACTCCACTCACTCCACTCACTCCACTCACACTCACTCCACTCACTCACTCACTCACACTCACCCACTCACCCACTCACCCACTCACTCACTCACCCACTCACTCCACTCACCCACTCACTCACTCACTCACTCACTCACTCACTCACGCACTCACTCACTCACTCACTCACTCACTCACTCACTCACTCACTCACTCACTCACTCACTCACTCACTCACTCACTCACTCACTCACTCACTCACTCACTCACTCACTCACTCACTCTCACTCACTCACTCACTCACTCACTCACTCACTCACTCACTCACTCACTCACTCACTCACTCACTCACTCACTCACTCACTCACTCACTCACTCACTCACTCACTCTCACTCACTCACTCACTCACTCACTCACTCACTCACTCACTCACTCACTCACTCACTCACTCACTCACTCACTCACTCACTCACTCACTCACTCACTCACTCACTCACTCACTCACTCACTCACTCACTCACTCACTCACTCACTCACTCACTCACTCACTCACTCACTCACTCACTCACTCACTCACTCACTCACTCACTCACTCACTCACTCACTCACTCACTCACTCACTCACTCACTCACTCACTCACTCACTCACTCTCACTCACTCACTCACTCACTCACTCACTCACTCACTCACTCACTCACTCACTCACTCACTCACTCACTCACTCACTCACTCACTCACTCACTCACTCACTCACTCACTCACTCACTCACTCACTCACTCACTCACTCACTCACTCACTCACTCACTCACTCACTCACTCACTCACTCACTCACTCACTCACTCACTTCAAACACACACTCACACAGGCAGAAAAACAATCACGCACAGCACATACACACACACACACTAAAGAGTCAACTGAAAGTCTTTTGTGAAAACAACCGGCCCAAGTTCTTGCCTCAACCTTTGGAAGGGTTCAACACCCTCTTAAGCCGGGTAGTTGGAAGTGTTTTGAACCAAAAATGCTTGTCGGAAAACATGGGTCGACGCTCAATTTTGGAGCCCATGCTGGAACGGGCACAACATGTTATGGGATGGGAAGGTTGACTTGGCGAGGTGTTTTCCATGACGAAGAATACGTCGAGGCCCCTACTCGTGGCACGGCAGGAGTTTGTTGGTTAAACCCAGTACCAAATGGCCCCCGTATTTGTTCGTTTTCCCTTTGCATCTTTAACGGACCTTCCCCAAAGCGCCAGGCATGTACAGACAAGAACGTCCTGAAGCGATACTTGAAGCTCTTGGAGGATGATGGCGTGGCCCTGAGAGAGTCACACGGATTCGATCCCTGAGACAGATCTGGAGCTTTGACTCTTGACCCAAGTCAGGGGTAGACCAAAAACAGAAACATCACGTTGCTGCGTCATATGTTTTGACCTCAAGAGGTCAACACATATTTTCTGAGGAGACCCCAGTTTGGCCAAGGCTTGCGGATTCAACAACCAGAGTTCATGGTTTTGAGACCCCAAATTTTCTTCGGACGCTGTGACGCTTGCAGGTTGACTGAGGCCTTCTAAGGCTCACTTCAGATCCATGGGTCCCTTGCAGTCGAAGAAACCGCGGGTCTGGGTCAAATCCGTTCGCCGTTGGGTTGCTTTGTGACGCCTTTTCGGAGGCCACCGGCCTTGTTTGCGTGGAAAGCCAACTTTTCAGAGATTTCCTCAACGTTGGGTCAGGCCAAAACTCTGGCTCTCACATGAGTATTTCCTTAACGTGGACACACTTGGGTCAGGCGAACACTCTGGCTCTGACGTGGGTCAACAGTGAGTCGAGGCAACTACTTTGTGGACCTCATCAAGGCCTGCAAGGACAAGTTGCTGCAGGCAGGGGTTCGGCGCACCATCCGTTTTTTGTTGAGGCCTGAACATGACGAGCAGGGACTCTCGGCCCGATTTGGGGAAGGATCTACTGGGAGCCTCGCTGTTGTGCCTGCAGCTGCTAGTTTTCAGGGCAGGGCTCAAGATCCATCCAAGCTTCTACTTGGAATCTTTTGGGGATTTTGTACCTGGACCCTCAAACCACCAATAAAAAAAGGGAATGGGCAACCCATTTTTGAGTTGGAATCTTGAGGGTCCAGCCCTGCTTGCAGGTGTCACCCAAGGAGTATTACCTCCTCTACCCCCGATCCACGCCGGGGCGCACGGTCCCATGCGTCGTCTTCAGGGGGGTTTGGTACCCGTTTGGTGGGTGGACCATGGAAAACGACGGTGGTGTTCGCCGAATTTGAGACTCGCACCTTTGTTGTGGGGAACGAGAGGTTTGGGTTGCCATGTCAATGTGGTACCGGGGTACCCTTGAAAACGATTTTCGGAGGCAGGTGTCCTCAACTCATGCTGACCCCCGCAGCTGTTCTCAAGGGGAGTCCCAGACGATTCCTCCACCAACCTGGAAGAAGCAGAAATGGAATCCCAAGATACGAACCTTCAAGGGTTTTCGCTCGCAGCCCCCTGTGTAGGGTTGTCGTAGCTTGTCAGAAGAGTCCGTTTGCAGCACCTAGAAAGAGTCAAAGAGCACCCTGCTTGGGGTGTGGTGCCTGATGGTTGGTTGGGCGTCTCACCATCTAGACACACCATCACCTATGATGCCTCGTTTTCTGGGCGGCTCACCGAAGACTGGGACAGCCTGCTGACAATATGTCCCCTTCAAACATGGGATAACAGCTCACTTTCAAATGAACCAACAACTGATGTGACTGTACTGATGCCAAAGTCCAGCTTGCAAGCAGTGACACAGCTCCGCGGAAAACCCCCCGCTCAAAGCGGGGAAAACACCTTGGGCAATCGGACCCCAACGCTCTAAAATGGGCAACCTAAAGCTGTTCTGATTTTATGCAAAGAACAGATTGGGACCCCGAAACCGGCTGGTTCCTTGAAGCACCGTCCGCCGTTTGCCCATGTCTTGCACGCGTGTCTGTACATGAAGAAAGGGGACAAAGGTGCGTACCTAGCTTATGCCGTTTCAAGCGTAATTAGTAACCTCCTCAATCAGGAAAGTATGCTCATGAAACTTGGATCGAACGGATCGCACTTAGGATGGGCCTGCCGAAAAACCGAGCAAACCTTGAAAGGGGTGGTGCCTGCAGAAAAAAACAATGAGCCACCTTCTGACTCACCTGGTTGGCCCTGGTTGTGAGCAGTAGGCCCATTGGTGTTAGCGTTTTTGTTTTTGGTTTGGGGGGGGAGACCCGCCTATGGGTTTCACGTATTTTTAGGGGACTGAACATGCCTTCGATGAAACGGCGCTCCCATTCAGGCCCAATTCCCCAAGCGGAATATCACAGGTAACGTGATGGAGCGAGCTTGATTGTTGCAGTGCGTGGGATGTCCAGGCAGACAGATCTGGCCAGATCTGGCCAGACAGCTCTGTTATAGCTATTGTGGCTGCTTTTATCTTACATTTGATGGGTGGAACTGGCGAATTCTGGTTGAGGAACCCTGGGTCCGGAAAACATAGAAAAGAAACTGGAGTGAGGGCGTCGAATCATCTCGATCCAGGACAGAGGACTCCCTCCGACTCCCTCCACTCGCATGCTTCCCCCAGTCGTGCCCTTCTACCCTTCTTTGGGGTACACTTATTCTGAAATAGAACACTTCAAAAGGGGTACCCTGATTCGAACCTCTCTACTGGAGGACCTAGCATGTGTTGTGGTTCTCCCGGATTTATGGCCCAAGTTGGCAGTTAGCGGTCGCGGGTCAGGTCAGGCAGTTGCCACGTCGCAGCCGGTTCCCGCCGCGCTATCCGGCTCAAGTTTCAGTTCCAAGCAGTCTGTGCGGCGTGCGCCGGCCTGCCTTTGCCGCTTTTTGGTTCGACCAACATGACCAACGGTATCTTGGTGGTTCCGAGACATCCGGATCCTTAGGCCGTTGGCTTTTTTAAATATCGTGTGGTCCACTTGTAGCGGGAGATGTGGGATTCTTGCCCAGAGGAACGCATCGTTTCCCCAGCTCCAGCAAGTTGAGCTTTTGCGGGTCAATGAGTTTCTCGGCGCACTTGGCCTGTGAAATGGTTGTAGGTTTCTGTTCAAGAAGCAAACCGCTCAAACACAAGGCCAGTTGAAGACCCTGAAGACAGGCAATGGAGGAAATGGGTCGACTCAGAAATTGCATGTGCCAAGCATTCCGAAGGGTCTGAGAATTCGAATGCCCGCCTAGACTAGAGAAATAAAGTTGGGACCCCCCGGGTCCCAGAAGCTCTCAGAAATGCCTTGCGATGGAATCCTGACAACATGGGAATGGGGACAGTGAGCAACCCATTGTCAATTTGCCCAAAGCAGAACTTAAAAGGGGGCCCGGACTTACCACCCTGTGAAGGTGTTTTCGTTTAGACCCTTGCCCTCTCGAAATTCGTGACTGTAGCTATGGCTTGGCCTGCATGCTTTCTCCTTTGCTTGTGGACGGCCAGGCAGGAAGGGCTGGGGTTTGGCCGCTGGGGGCAGAAAGGGCTAGGTCCTCCAGTAGTGCCCTTTGACAAATTTTTTTGGGGAAGGGTTCCCCTACTACAATAGACGTCCTGAAAAAGGTGATACCCTCATTCTATCCTCTTCACTGGAGGACCTAGAGGGGCAATTGGAAAGGTCAAACGGAACCCCGCCACGGGGACCCCCATGTTTGAGAGACCCGGTTGAAGGAACGTGTGCCATGGCAACAACACCCTTGAACTTGGGGTGGATAGGGCTTGCCACGGTCGGATAAGGATTTGTTTGACAACCATTGCATGGCAAGTGTTTCGATTTAGGGAGCGACGACCCACATACGCCTTGGCCATGGCATTGGAGATATTTCCAGTTTCCCTTCCAGTCCCTTGTTGATTTCGCTAAGGCTTCTTGTTCTATTGTTGATAAATCATGAGGCACTGTGCTTTTTGGTTTGTTGTAAGGAGCCAGTTGAGTTTTCTTTTTGGCGCTGAGTTCTTTTCGGTTTCTTCGAATTTTTGGGGTCATGGTTCCCTTCTCAAGTCGAGTGCGGGTAGGGCCCTGCCCGTGCCGGCGGCGAGCGGCACCTGCGGAGTGAGCCGGCCGCTGTTCAAGGACCCGAAGATCAGCGTCGGCCACAATTTTCAGCTTCCCCCGCCTTCCGGCATTTGAGTGTTTTTCTTTCTTTTTTTTTGGATTGCGGTTTTCCTTTTGTCAATTGAATACCAAAGAAAAGGGGCAGCCTCAAACAAGTTGGAGCCCAACAATTGGCGCTACGTTTCTCCGTTTGGCTTCCCTTCAGAGCCAACAAAAAGGGGGTACCCTCGAAGCAGAAGCACACATTTGTGTTTATAGTGTTTTTTCCAGCCCTTTTTTGTTCGGTTCAAAGGGAATCAGTAGGAAGCCAACCTTTTGTTGGCTCACCCTGAGGCCCTAGTTTAACCCCCACACACACACACACACATGTTTCCTTCAGAGGCGTACAGCCCAGACAGGGTCCTCTGGCGTTGGGTGTGGAGTTAGGATACATTCACATTTCACCAGCTAGAACCTGGGTAATTCATCTAAATGTCAGCATTGTTCATTAATCTGTTTCGCAACTCTCGGAGTTGCGCTTTGAGCGAACACACCTTTGGTCCTTTGGAAAAGGGCCTATCTTCCCACAGCAAAAGGTTTACTCTTTGGAGGGCAAAGACGAAGCCGGTGGTGTTCAAGTCGGACCCCCCGATTTCGGGGCGTCAACTTGCACTCCAGGTGTTTCTCTTTTTTTTTTGGGGGGGGGGCGGGCACTGATTCGGGCTGACAAGCTTGGGGTCCATGGGGGTTCCTTTGCAATGTTCGCCTTGCAGGCGGTGAATCGTACTCGTGGCTTGGACGCAGCTTGCCGGCTGTCAGCACCTGACGACGTTCGTGTTCGCATTCCCAAACCCCGTGCTGTCCAAACGGCGGGTGGCTCTTGTGTCAGGACAGCAGCGTCAAGGTGGAGCCGATCGATTCGCAGGGCAATTGGCTTCAGCAAGGCATCAGCGGGGAGCCAAGGCGACCGGTGAAGAAAGACATGGGCTCAGGCACGTTGGGATTTTCAGGTCTGAAGGATTCCATTGATAGGGCTTGTTTTGTGCCCTGAGAGGTTTTAGCAGCTTAGGCCTAACCCCGGTCATCCAGGGCTCAATTCCGTTGAAGATCATTTTGCCGGGGCTGGGCGCAGTGAGTCTTGTACCTATGTTGTAAGGATTGCATATGGTTTGGGTCAATTGTTGCACCCGACAATACAGCACCGCCAAGAGCCCAGCGGTTGCCCGTGCCCCGCATGCATGCTCCGCACCCGCCCATCTGGCGAGCTTCGCAGGCTCTGCCGTTCTGTAGGTTTGTTCTCCGGCAATCGGTTTCTTATGTTGTGAAATAAACGCATTTTGATATCAACGAAATCCAAATGGCTGAAAGGGAATCCAACAGGAAATTCGAAACCAGATAGCCAGTGCTCTAATTTTCAACATGTTGGTGTTCCTTTTTTGGAGGCGTTGGCGCCCTCAATGTCTGTCTCCTAAGGTGGGTTTCAAGGGGGGGCCAAGCAAAACCGAACCCATATTTTTTTTGGGGGGGGGACCAAGAAAGACCCAAGAAACAACCGAACCCATTCTTTTTTGGGCGGGGGTCCCCCCGAAAAACGAAACACCCATTTCTTTGCAGAGCTTTGCCTATCAGAGCCGAGGTGCGGTGCTGGGCTGGGTGGGTCATCTCCCGCCGCCAAGCAGCAACTGGCCCGGCCGGGCAGTGTGTGGCCTTTGATGTGCGTTTGGTTCGGTGATTAAACGCTTTTGCGTTTTGGGTCCTTACAATACAACAAAAGTTAGTACCCTTATTCTAACCTCTCTAGTAATAAAAGCAACCCTATTCCAGGACTCCTCAACCAGCTGCTTTTTCCCATGCGCAAACTTCCAAGTACTTTCCAAAAAGCGGTGGTTGGGGGGGTGCTGGTTGTTTTGTTTCTCATATCACGTGGGTTGATGCCGTGTTTTGGGCTGTTCGCGGAGAGTTTGGGCATGATTTGGGCCCAAGGTTCTCGTGAATTTCTAGCTACCTCAAAAGACTGGGTTTGCGACATCGCCTCTGAAGGTTTCTTTCATGGGGCTTTTTCTGACAAGCTCAATGGGAAGCCGCATGGCGATGTTGTGGGGTACCCTTTGGATAAGTAAAGGATTGTAAGACAACTGCAAGCCACGGTCCAGAGGTGGATGGAACCCAGGTGCTTGAAAAGTGGTCTCCCAGCACCCCTCCTGTGGTCAAGCTGTATGTTTAGTGAAGCCCACATGCCTATGGACTTGGAGAAGCTGGGAGAAGCCCATGTAACATTCGAAGTGGCAGATCGTTCCCTAGTGCTTTTCGCAACATCATGCTTGACAGAAGCCATCTCACCAATCTCACCCGCACAGAGGCCGCGCGCGCGCCCTCGCGCACGTACGCACGCAAGCACCCTCCGCACGCCTGCCCGCGCACACGCACGCTCATGCACACAGACACGTGTGTAGCATTCACAAGCATTATGCTGAGACACGGCCCTGCCTCAAAAGGTGAAGAGTCCTCCACGATAGGGCGTTGGACAGCCATGGCCATGGTCCACTTATCTGTGTTGCTGTTCAGCGGGCTCCCTGCCAAGTGACCCAATAAATTTTGTGCCCGTGTGTTCAATCTGATTTCCCACCTCCAAACAACTTACAATGTGCCCTTTTGCAACACCTTTGCCACTTGTTGCCCGTGCTGCGGACTTGCTTTCGTGCTATCCGAGGTTTCCTTTCTTGCAACATGAAGAGCAAGAGCGGCAAGAGTCGAGCAAGCTGCGATGTCTCATGCCGTATCTCATGAATTGTGCCTCGGGACTGCACAAGAGAGTTACTGTACTGGGAAAACTTCTGGTTTGGTTGATAGTCGACCCCTCCCCTCAAACCGAAATCACCCCTGCTTCACATTGGATGCGGCTTTGGCACACCTGGTGCTCCTTGCTGCCTACTCTGTTTCCCATGGGGAACTGTGTAACCAAGATACAAGGTTTCTCGTTAAACCAAGCCAAAAGGGTACCCTCAAAAACACATATATATAACAACTGTGCGTAGCACACGAGGGCGGCATTTTTGGCAATGACCTTTAATTGAGTTGCAACTTTAGCGAAAAGAGTTGGAACTCTCCTTAGGAGCTTAAACTAGGTTCCCCAGCAAGGTGCCCTTGTACCGTTTCTTTTTCGGGGGAGGGTCTCCCTACCAAAATAGACAAAGGGCACCCTTATTCTAACCTCTCTACTGGAGGACCTAGGAAAGGAAGGTGTTGCTGGGCTTGCGGCCATCCTTGTAGCAGACTTCGCGACGCTGTCCCAAAGTCGGAACTCCACTACGAACCATTGGTGTCCTTTGGATAGTGTTGGTTAGTTGTTTTGCTTTGAAAAGCACATGCCAGGGATTTCCAATACATGCCAGGGCCCTCTTGAATCGAAAAGCCTTGGCAGGGAGGTTGTGGGAATTGCCCATTGCTAGTCACCTTTGGGTTCTTGAGGAAATGTCTGGGAGAACTCCCAATATTCCCAACTGAGAATGAGAAAGAACGAGCAAGACAAGATGCATCTCGCCAAGATTCGTCGTGCAGAATCTTGACTCGGTTCACTCGGGGGGCTGGTCAAATTTGAGACCCCAAACGACTGAGTTTTGTTTTCATTTTATTGGTTCACTTGCGATGCTCTGAACAACCACTGTATCCTTTCCCGAGAGCAGTTTCGCTCATCAAACTTGGCCCTTCAGAATCCTCAGTCAACGTTGGATCACTGAGCCGAAAGGCTGACGACTTTCCTTCACTCAGAAGTCAGTGGAATGCTTGACAACGGGCTGGATACTTGACAACGGGCTGGATACCAGATGGTTGCGTGTCACAACCAGCTGGAATTGAGTAGTACGTCGCAACCCATTTGCACAAGCCACGAGTCACCTGGATATTTAAAACGAGCCCCGCGACGAAAGACCCTTACAAGGGGATTGCTCATTTTGGGTTTGCGAATTGTCTTGCTGGTGCGATAGGCAGGGAATGAGACATGGAATGGCCCTAAACCATCCATCCTGTGGTTTCCTTTCAGGGACCAAAGCCTGGGTTCATTCAGTCACATTCCCTGAGCACCAGCAGATTGTGGCAGTTTGCCCAGAACTTCTGCCGGGCCTGTTTGCAACGGCCGGAGTGAGAGCGACTCAGCGAAACTTGAGGCACACACTGGCAGGCGTGGCCCGCCGGCTGGGCGGAAGTGTGGAAGAACTCGCATGCGAAAAGGGCAAAGCGACCAGTGCACGGCATGTGGGTGTGGTTCCTTTGCTTGTGGGTTCCCTTTTTGGGGTTGGTGTCAAAGGGAAACCACCAGGACGGGTCGCCGATGTTAAGGCACGCGCGAGTGATCTCGCTGCAGTTCTCTCCGCCAGGGCCTGTCCTTGCAGCGGCCCTGCCCAGACGAGTGCCCCTTCATCGCCCAAGTGCCGCCTGGAACGAAAAGGGAAACCAAAGGAAGCCACCAGTTCTGGGGGGTTTGAGACACACACACACACACACACTGGCACATGTGTGTTTGTGTGTGTGTGTGTACGTGTGTGCGTGTGTTTGTGTTCTTTTCATATGCTCGGCTTTGTTTGTCTTCTTAAAGGTAGTTTCAACATGAACCTGGGGATGTGCTCTCAACTTTCTGGCCGATTGCCAAGTAGATGCTCCATCCGGAGGTCTGCTTTTTTCAGAAAAGGGCTAAGTCCTCCAGTAGTGCCCTTTTACCATTTTTGGGGGGAGGGTTCCCCTACTAAGCCCTACTAAAATAGATTAAAGAAGAAAGGGTACCCCTGGCCAAACCTCTCTACTGGAGGACCTAGAGGTGACGGCTGGAAAAGAACCATAGCCCGCTTGGAGATGCTCGCATGCCTTAGCGCCATTCCCGAGCAGTCGCAAGATCATCCGTTTCACCAAGGGCGATGTGCAGAGCAAGTGAGCTTTCTGATCGAGGGGAAAACGAGCAGATTCATGAAATTCTGAAGGTGTTGATCAGTGCAGGTTATATGTCATGCAAATTGGCAAGTTCAAGGCAAGAGTCAAACTGGGTCATTGACCTGATCATGAAGGGATCAATTTAATGATAATTCTCCACTTCAACTGGGTCTGAAGGGATGTGATTGGGAGGCTTAGGATTGCACAAACTGTTTTTTTGTCAGCAGCGCCGCTCTTTCAGGAAGCCTTTCGCTTGCGCCTTCACCTGCGTCAATGCCCCTCGTCAACACGGTGCCACCTGAAACCTGGGTTTGGGAGCAAGCTTTTGTTTTTTGCAGCGGCCAGGGCTCAAATTCTGAGGCCCAAGTTGGCTTTTTGGGTTGGGTCTTTTCTGGCAGCGGTTGCTCCGGGTTTCATAAGCTGTGACCAAACACACGTATCTTGACATGCCCCAGCCCCCGTCGCAGTTCTTGGAGACAGCAACCTTGCGCTTGGAGCTGCCGCACACACAAATTGGGCTGCGCCTTTCTTCCAGCCTTGGAACTTGAGTGTTCAGAATACTTTGGGTGTGATTTTTAGTACCTGACTGAACGCAGCGTGTCTATCTTCTTTCCTGTTGTCTTGTCTTTGCCCTTTTGCTTTCTTGCCTTCTTGCCTTGTTTGCTTGCTTCCTCACGTGTTATACTCACTTGCTCCTTCCTCTAACCCTCGCTGAACTGCCAGGCGGCTTTGGGCCCAAACAGCTGGGCTGAAATGCCGAAAGCCAGCGGCAACTTGAGTTGATCGACCCTCATGAAGAAATATTCTGCTTTGAAAACACAACCTACAATGGTTGGCGTATTTGGGCCCCCAGGTGACAAGTTCCTGTCAAGCAGCCAAATCTGGGCAAGACACGGTTGCTTTTTATCGGAACATCTGGTGTTTCCTTTCCCCCAAGGTGGGAAATGATGCCTTTTGGAGGCATGTTCCACACTCCAACAGGAAACCATGAGTCTATTTTCAGGAACCTGGGTATGGCTCCATCATTTTCCACATAAACGGCGAATGAGCCAATTGTCCGGTGGCCAAGAGAGGCGCTAAAAGCGCCAGCGCTCGAAGGTCACGCAGTGCCACTACACGGACCCCAACATGCCCTTTGCCAACTCGGGGAGCCACCTCTGCGAGGAGCTTCGAAGCCTTTTTGGCCTACAGGGGTTCAAGCCAGGGAAACCGGAACGAGCTCAGTGCATCATGTTTGAACTGCCCAATTTCCCTGAGGGACGCGCTTTCCTTGTGTCTTTTCGAGCGGGTTGCTGAAATTCTGGTTCTAAATCAAGCGCCAAGAAAGATCAGAGACCTGAACTGGGCAAGAATCGGGGCTTCCACGGTTGAAGACTTGAGTTGGCTGTCTCCACAGGAAAGCAAATGTGGCCACAAAAAGCTGGAAGTTTACCTGGGCGTTTGTTCACAGTGGACATAGACCGGAGATTAAAGAAGATGGGAAGCAATTGAGTTGGTAGTTATCCATTTTTCCTTGGGAACCTCAAGGTGCCCGTCTCTGGCCAGAGCTCAGACGAGGTGCCTTTGGAGCATGTCCTTTCGGACGAAGAGCAGCGACTCACCACCAGGCCTCGCCCATGAACGAGTGATTTGTGAGACTCTTGCAACAAGTATGGCGACCCCTTGTTTGGGATCGGCGAATACTTCACCCAGAGGCTTTGCGGAGCAATTGCCGGCGCTGAAAAGGGATTCTTCTCATCGATTCCTCAGTTGGAGGATGCCAAGGTCTCCCTTAGCACCACTCCCTGGGCCCGGCCTTCCCATTGGAAGGTTGCCGGAATCTGGCGCCCTCTGTCAGTTCAAGCCCGGCCAAAGGCAACCGAGCAAAGTCAACCCGGGCTGAAAAACAAACGGCATAGACCAGGCCAAGACCGGGGTTTCCCGGGCCATCCACTCACAGGAGTCTGCCATTGAGGGTTGCGAGGTGCAGGCGCGCAATCTGCGGATACGCCTCGTCACACAAGACCAGGGGTTGCATACTGAAGTAATCGGTTCTGTTCTTTTCTCAAGGGCAACACTCAAGCCCAGTTTCCATTTCCAGGTCGCCATGATATGTTGAAAGACTGCGGAAAGCTGCAAGTTTCCGTGTTGCTTCCGTGTAAAGCCTTCCGAGACACGGCCTCTTCATTTTTCAAGCTGAAACAGTGAGGCATCCCGAATGTGGTGCTTCCAGAATCAACAAATGTTGTAGATAATAGCACTTTCCTGAAGACTCAAACTTAATATGGTTACCTTGGACAGAATCAGGGACCTTTCAGATCCCAAACGAAAGCTCGTTTTGCATATTACATGATATTTTCTGAGGTGGCATCAACCCATTTTTGTTTAAAACACGTTCAGCTATCTTGCGGAGCCCGAGCGTCGATCTTGGGGTGGCGACGGGGCGCTGGCTGTTTTGAGATGTTGCGCTTGCACCTTTCCAATTGGCAAGGGAAGATGCGCTTGGGACGCTTTCCCAGATATCAAGTCTTTTGTGGCTTTTGACCAGCCGGCACGAAGTACTTAATTTCACTGTGACACCATGAGCTAATTTTTGGCTGCGCAGGTTCGTATTAACATTTGTTCAAGTCAATGGCTTATAGGTCACCGTAGAGGAGCCTGAGGAGAACATGCCTCATGTCCGATGAAGCTGTTTAAGCTGTACGCTGTTGCCAAAATGCATGACTTGTCATTACTGCACCCCCAGTCCATGGCCCCTGACGCAGGGTTCTTTTTTTGGAGCATCCTGAAGCGACGGTTGCTTGGACATTATGTTGTATACTGCATGGCTCTGCGGGGAGCTCCGACTCGCCTTTCCCAGGCGGAAAATGGCTACTGCGAGCGCTGCCGGCAACACTTTGCCATGAACGAGGCTTGGAAAAACAAGCAACAAGTGTATGCATACAGAGAATCATAGGGTTGGTTGCAACATCGGTTTGTTGCCAGGGATCTCCCCCCAAAAGCCCTCAAGGGACACCTAGCTGAGGTTGCTAAACATGTCAGTGGTTCGGACGGATTGCAACAGGTGGGATACAAGACCATAGATGCCGATTTGTTTTTTTCTTCTTTTTTTCTCTAAACCATCAACCATATTGCCTTCCGTGGCGGATGGATTCGAGGGCAGCTTACGGGCAAGATTGTGGATCAGGATCGCTTGGGTTGTTCGAGATCTATGCTTCTTCTGGGTGCTAAATGCCACTTGGCAATCTTCCCCAAGGGGAAGCCGCACCATGAATATGTTTGAGATGTTTGTAGATCTTGCATATCTACCATTTGGTCCCATGAGTCACTTGCAGGTTTGCTCTTGCCACACAAAAGGACAGGTCAAAAGTGGTGGCAGCCCACAGACTTGAGTCCTGTTGATCTCAGTGCGCTGTTCCCACGGGATGCCTTTTGGTTGTTTTCCGCTGGTTCATTATACGAGCAACGGGAGGTTGTTTCCAAAATAATTCTGGTAGCCCTTAGTTGGTGGGTGGATGGATGATATGGGGACTTGAACCCCTGGTTTCTGTTCCGGGTTAATGGGCAACCACCCCCGATTTTGCAAACCACCATACCAAACCACCAATTTGCAAGGAAGCTGGATAATACAGTAGGTCATTTGGGGTATCCCCGCTCTTGAGGAGAATGGAATGGGGGAACGAACGTTCCCCTATCATATCCTCACCACAATAGCCCATTGACTACCAGTGACGTGTTGTCCATGTTGGTATGTCCAAGAAGAATCTTTTGCACGGGACTTCCTCTTTGGCCCGTGTCTGTCTGGGTTGCCCCCATTGCATTAAATCGGCCGATGACAATACATGTTCAAGCCCCCAAGGATTTGTCCGGGCCGTATGTGTCTTTAAATTGGGCGACCCTCCCGAAGAAAAAGGTTGTCTTCACTTCAAAACAACACTAAAACGGGTACCTGGAGCCTCCAAATTCCCTTACACATGGGTTATTGCCCCAAAATTAGGGGTTGGATTCCCTTTTTTATGGGTAGTTTGAGTCATGGAAAGTCCCAGGAAAGTACTTTCAACAGAAAAAAGGAAAAGAACAAACAAAAACGCACACGTTTCCAGCCTCGAAGCTGCTTTGAGCTGTTGGATTCCGTCAGGAGGGCACCCACTGCCTCTACGATCGCGAGGTGCGCCAATGCTGGCAGTGCGAGGTTTGCTGCCCGAAAACAAAACTTCATTTGGTGGCAAGCCCAGACATCCGGTTCCTGAACTTTTAGCTTTTGAGCTGGTTTGGTGGGGGTTTCCGTATTTAATCCACTGAAAGTCAGTTTTTTTTAGCAGGGGATATGAAAACGGACAGCCCAGTTCAGTGGCGTTCTAATCAGCGGACAGATGTTCAGTGGATTTGACACTCCAACTCCTTTTCTTGTTTTGCTTTTTTCAGTTGCCCAAAGCGGACCTTTTGACCTTTTGGTTTTTCCTTTTTGGTCTAGTTTTAGTCATGGCCCCAAAAGGTTAACCTTATATTTCTGGGTCCTTTGGGCAAGTGAGTTTTTTCTGTTGAATGGGCAACCCAACAAGAATTGGTTCCAATTCGTTTCTGCCAGTCTCTTTGGGCTACGGTTGGTCATGGACACCCTAGGAATAATAGTAGAATCCTAGAGAACCAGCGCAAGGTTCCCCTTATGGGCGCCAAGACCCATTCAAGTCTTGGCACAGTAGCGACCACATTATGTTTGTCCCAAAACGAAACCAGTGGGGATGGGTTGCAATTGTCCAGCACAGCCTTTTCCTTTCACACCCATCTCAGCGCACGCAGGGCTCCATCATTTGGCTGGTGGAGCATTTGCACGCTATGGGCTCCTCAGCTAAACCTGCAGGCTGGGGGTTGGCGGGTGGCTCCCGCTCTTCAGCCCGGTTATGTTGGCCCCTGGCGATGTGTGCGGTTGTGCTATTTGAGCTTCTCGGTTTTCTCCTTCATGCGACGTTAAAAGGCAGGGGCAGCCTGCCAGCTTGGTGGGCGTGGGGCCCCCAGGCCAAGATGTTCCCCGTGAACTATTGGCAAACGAGGGCTCAGAGTGAAACTTTGGTTTCCTTTCACAGCCAAGGGGGAGCAGTTTCTTAAGTCAGGTTTGGGATCATACATTGGCAGTGATGCATCATGTGCCCACCCGCACAGAATCCTTCAATGACTTACCAACATGACCGTTTGGATGCAACATTCTGTGTAGTTGAGGATGGCCTTCCAAGTTCAACCTGTGGATGCGGAAAACTCACAGGTTTCCAACCCCTCTCCCCCTGTTTCCGGCCAAAAAGGACCCACAGAAGACCCAGGTTTAAGGGTTTTGGGGAGGGGGTTTGGGGGGGTTGGAGATGAAAAAGTAGGGAAAGCAATGGGTCCACAACAACTCCACTAGCGACTGATATGGGTGTGTCTTTTTTGTGGGGATCAGGTGTACCTCGTTTGGGGGTTGGGGGGTCGCGACCCGTCCATATCCCATTGGGGGGTCAGGGAAGGAAGAGTCAAGCCTTCGCGTAGTTTGGTTTGGTTATGGCTGTGTTGGCCAAAAGGGGGTCGCCTGTTTGGCTGCACACCTCCGAAGCTACGAAGAGTGGCCAGTCATTTGATTTGGAGCTTGGTCCCCGAAATATCTGGTTCGAAGGTTCCGGCTTAGCGAGCACAGAAGCTTGATTCCCCTTGACTTTTCATGTCTTTGTCCGACTGAGGGCTACCCGTTTTTGATTGAAAGCCTACACTCGACCAAAACGGGAAGTTTGGTTGGTGTGTTTTGGGGGCTAGGAAGAATTCCATGAGAGCCGCCTGTTCAGGGGAGCAACCCAAATACAGAGGCCCTGCCAACCATACATCTCACAGAGGACACAATCTGCTCAACCACGATGAAGGTTCTTTGCTTGAGGGGACCTTGTTCCACACAGTTTTCCCAAGGAGGTAGGGGCCACGGTAGCGGAGAATTGTGGTTTAGGGGCCGCCTTGCGCCATACCAATGGAATCTCTTCGAAGCAGCAAAATAGCACAGGGATGCCCCGCTTTGTCACCGCAACCGTGGCAGTACCGTGGCGGGGCGAACTCATCTAGGTCCCGCATGCCCTTCTCTCCCCTTTTTTGGTTGGGAGGGTTCCACAAAAACAGACAGAAAAAAAACATCTGGTACCCTTACTCCAACCTCTCACTGGAGGACCTATACAATTCATCCGGAAAACTCATGGAGGCATCAACGCACATTGCGGCCAGGGGTTTGGGGATGGGACCCGGTTTTGCCCACCCCGAACCGCGAACCTGTGCGACACTTCATCTACCTCTTGGTTTTGGGTCAGAAAAAGGGGGTCGAAACGTATGTTTGACACTTTGTTTGCCTCATTTTGGGGTCAGAAAGAGCGCTTTTGGGGTCGACAACTTGCTGGTGCAGTAGGACATGACCGAGGCCGGGTGTGAATGAGCCGCAAGTCGGGATTCCCCAAAAAAGGAAGCCAAATCGGATGGATGGGTTTTCTCGCGGGGCAATTCCCATGTCTCATTGGCCGATGGAACCAGATCCAAGGCTATTGGCTTTGGATCATCCTGGGCCTTTGCCTGAGCTGCTGCTGCTGGCAGCTGCGGGCGGCCTTGTCCAAGCATTGGCACCTCCTCACCTTTGCGCGCATGCACTACCATCTCTGCAAGGCGCGATTTTATTCTACTTTTTGGGGGGGGAACATCCGGAATGAATCGGGGCAATTGTCGTGGTCGTTTTCAGGGTTAATCAGTAGTGGGTCGGATTTTGGGCAACACGCCCCCAAGCATGAACATCGCCCTTTGGGCCAAGATTGAGCTTCCTTTTTGGTGGGCTAGGCCCCAGTAGTGCCCTTTTACCCCTGTTTTGGGGGAGGGTTCCCCTACTAAAATAGACTACAGCAAAAAGGGCTAATGTTATTCTAGTTTCTCTACCGGAGGACCTAGAGGGTGATGTGGATATTGAAGAAGCCTGGAACGTGAATCAAGCGCCTCAGAGAAGCGGTGAAGCTGGCGCCTGGAGCTTCTTTGCACGTCTTGACACGGCCTCTTGTGAACTTTGATGCTGTGAGCCCGCTTCTTCGCATGGTTCGAGAAGGAACAGAAAGAGACATTTGCTTGGAACGGGCCCTTGAACATGCTTGAGGCACATGCACCCAAAATTAGTGGTTCTGAAGTGATCCAATACTTATTTAGAGCTGTGATTATTGTTTGGGGTTAAGATGAAGCTTCAGTAAAGAGGTTATTTGCAGTTGTCTTGCCCTTATCATAGCGCCATGCTTTCAGCTCCGAGCTTTTCTTGGACAGCCCCACGCGTGGTTTTGTCACCGAGGTGCGGAAGAACCCCAAGGTGCACGCAGGGGCACCGCTCTTCAGTATCTGCGAAAACCTGCACACCAAGCATCCCGGCAAAACCAGGAGTTTGTCCTTCTCAACATAGGGGAACCTCCCCAAATGCCAGCGGTTTCCTTCTGGTTTCCTTTTTTCATAGGGGAACCCCCTAAAAAATGTTGGCTTCTTTGTGGCTTCATTTCGAACCAAGTAAGAGGTGACCCCTAAACACAGACACAGCCATCTGCCGTCGCTCGAATTTTTCAGGGTCAACATGAAATTGGTTTGCACGTCCCGAAATGTTCCAAAGGCCAGCCATATATTTGGCGACCATGCTGGCCAATGTGAAGCGCTCAATCTGTTGTGCTTTGCGCATTTCCATGTGGATGTGAATTCTAATCGGGTAACCTTTGTACATTTTTCTGTGGACGTATCACCCGATGATCCCAATGATGATGAATGATGTCCAACAAGAAGTCCCCGACTAGAATCATCTCGCGGCCTTAGGGGGCAGAGCGGTGATTCGCTCACTCCACCTGCAGATCCAGCTGCCTGATGGGTGAGGTGTCTTTTGCACCATGCCACAAACTTCCGGAGGAGCGACTCCTCCCTGCATCGTCTTGCTGATTTCCGATTCCGCTTTATATTGCTTGGCTCCGCATGATGTTTTGGAGATAGGCGTGGCCTTGCAGGGATCCGCCTGCCAGAGTAGTTGTTGCACTACAAGGTGAACCGGCAGTGGACGCAGTGTGCCATCAGGTCGTGCAGTCGAAATTGAGACAAGTCGAGAACCGTAAAGCTCAAGATCTTCCAGCAGCTTTTTTCCTGACGGGGTTGTTCAAAGGTAAGCTGCAAGATCCTTACCTTCGGTTGCGCAAGGATTTGGTTCCGTTTTGTAGTCGCTTGCCTACAGGGATTATGGAATATCGGATTGGCCAAGCCTCCAGTTTGAACAGTCCAGCCGAAGTAAGGGAAGTTCTACGTACTTCGAGCCGTTCCTGGCTGAGGTTCGTCATCGGCGTGGGGTTGCCGCTCTACTACAACTCTCTGGTCTTTCTGCTGATACTGTCGGATGCTGGGCTGCATATTCCATGTCACTTTGGATGTCCATCAACAAGGGTCCCCCCATTTCCCTTTTTTAGACCTCTCAAAGTGGCAGTTTCAAGTTTCAATGGAAACCGCCAGCAAGTTGATCAACTTTTGAAGCGGAAAGCAGTGATTTCTGAAAGGCATTAAACGAGTCCATTTCTGAGACTCCAAAGCCAATCGAGAGCCTTCCGGATGTTAGACAAGATGACGCGGCAAAAACGATCAAACGCGTCAGCTGAGAGGTCCTCCTCTTCCTGGGGACTCACTTCGCGCTGGACTCGGGGTCACAGTCCCTCTTCAACTACTCGGGGGTCTCCTCGAATCCGGTACAGGCCGATCGCCCCGCGCTCTCGCGTGCGGAAGTTGAGGTGATCGCGGGCCGGTTTTGAAGTTTCCGCGCGGAGGTCTTTTGGTTGGAGGACCCTTGGGCTTGGAAAAGAAGCGATTCTCCCACAACTCCCCCTCAAGCACATTCCCCACACCACCAACTGACTAGGTCGGGCACAGGAACCCCCGATTTCAGATTGCTGAACTATACAGGAACTATACTGCAGATAGAACACATCCAAGCTCCAATTTGCGCAAGCTTCTTCGTGAACGGAACTTGCCAGTCCCTGCAGTTCTTGCGGCGACTGAGTCAGCACTTTGGGGAGTCTTCCGATTTTACTGCAGGTTGGCAACGTGCCCATCTACCCCAGTGCAGAAGGCCGGGGTAAGCATCTGCACGGAAGCTGACGGAAGGGTCGAAGACAATCCTCTTGAAAAGGCCCGTGCATTTCAGTTCCCTAGCAGCCCAGGACCCTAAATATGAGGGCCTTGACCCCCAAAGGCATGAAAGAACGAGGTCTTGGGGTTCTAGGGATTGGAATGTTGCCCCTCTCACTTTTTCGTCCCTTCAGGGATAGTCCCAACCTTACATATGTTGCCTCCCTCTCACTTGCTCACTTGGTCCAGGGTTTGAGGGTTTGACGAGGACTCAAGCGGCTTTGTCTTTCGTTGGATGCTACTTTCTTTTTCTTTCAGGGCAATCGACAAGGGAACCAACCGGTTTGGGGCATTCACCATTCGAGATGTCCCCAAGTTCAGTGGCGGACACCACAAATATCCCTCCCAATTGCACGTTTGAACTGCGTCCCATGTTTCAGCTCCTGGCGTGTGCCTTGCACATAGGCGTCCTTTGGTTGGTTTGGTTGGAAAATAGAGGGCGATTCCTGGTTTTCCTGGTGGTTTTTTCTCATCTACCAGGGCCATCTATTTACCAGAAAGGACACCTATGGCCTTGCACCTACTTAAGGGGGGCTGACTTTGATGTGGTTTCTGTGTTCAACGCCCGCCACTCGAGGAGGAAAGCGTCCAGATTTGGTTTGAAACTCCCACTTGCCGTGCCAAGGTCGTGGCAAAGATGCTCCAATCATCCCAAAAGGAACCACATAGAAAATTGGCTAATGTGACGTATCCTCTCCTTCGAAATGCTTGCAAATCGCGCGAGTCCGACCTGGCAATCCCAATGGGCGCAAAGCGCCCACGCATGAATACATCGGTGTGTCTTTTGATTATGCTGTTGGAGTGGGTGGCTCAAAAGGAAAACCACAAGCATCACATGTATTGTTGCCAGGGGACAAGACCGCAAGACTCGCTCGTATTCCTCCCAGTTGATGTTGATTGGTGCAAGCCATTTTTAGAGGGCATCGTTCACTGATCACTTTAGGCCCTGGTTCTTCTCAAACAGTTGGACTCAATATCTTGCTGGTGACGTTGATACTAGCAAAACACATGGAACAAGTTACTTGAGGCAACGCTGCTGGTCTGACTTGTTGACCATTGATCTTTCGTACTTTGCAATTGTTTGTCTGGGCTGTTCAAAGGCATCCTTCAACCCTTGTTTGGGTGGCGTGAGGGATCCCCTTTCAATTTCTAATTTCTCTATAGGGATTACGTTTTAGGATTGGCGAATCCTCGATTTTGAGCAGCCCATTTTGTCGTTGCTGTCGAATCTGGTGACTGGGACCAAAGTAATGATTTTCCACACGTTCCAAAATCATTGGGCTTTGAATCAAGTGCAGGAAATGGACAGTTGGTTCGTTCTCTTTCTGGTTTCCCCTGAAAAGGCAGCAAATCAACAAGCTTATGGTTCCTTTTTCCTCTGACTTCCCCTTTAAAGCGCCACTAATTCAATCAGCTTATCACGACCCCCCCTTTCCCCCCCCCTCGTTGGGCACGCCCACTCCCCTCGGCCTCGGCCTCGGCCTCGCGTTGCGCCAGGGGTGTCGGACGCGTCCATCTGCAGCTGGGCCATGGAGGAGGGGCTCGAGCGATCGATCGCACGGCAATGGGGCACCCCAAATGGGGCACCAAATGGCGGTGGCTCAAAAAACTTAGAAGGAGTTCCAACATGGGTTGCCCGATCAAGTGGAAACATGGGTACCAAAACCTGCGGCTTGCCCCTCCTGTTTAATTTTGAGCCACACCCAAATGGAGTTCAGACAAAACCTGTACTCGAGACCAGCTTCGAAAACGCTTGGAGGTGTTTTTGTTTTGAGGGGGGGCTTAAGAGGTAGCAGGTACTAGGTCCCCCAGCTAGGTGCCCTTTTCTCACCCCTTTTTTGGTTAGGGGGTGCCCCTACTAAAATAGACTACAGAAAAATAATCGGGTACCCTTATTGTAACCTCTCTACTGGAGGACCTAGATGTGGACGTATGAATCAACCAACCAGGTTTCATTCACAAGCGGTGGGGGGGCCCTCCAAGAGTGGAATCTGATTCCCCACGTTTCACCCAGGGAGAAGCACCCGTATTAATAAACTGGGGTTGAGTATTTTGGGGTCAACGTTGCTTACTGTCCCGAAGCGAATCGACCTTTAGACCGCCCCAGCTGGTATAGAACCTACCCATGTACCTACCACTGAACCTATGAACTGTTCATTTATCAATCTATTCAATAGCCTCCATGGCATGCCCACGAGACCGCCTTTGTCTTGCTGGTGCGATAGGCTGGTGGTTTCCTTTAAGGGGACCCCAGGGTTCATTCCCTTATTCCCTGCTGAGCACCAGTAAGCTGTTCATGGTGTTTGAACACAGCCCGGCTTTCGCACACTGCCGCGGAACGTAACAAAGTGTTTGCGAAAGTGCCTTTGCCGCGGAAGGGATGCGGCTCTAACTTTCTTACGCTAAATCTGAAGCAGTTACTGTACTTGTAAGAGCAAGGGAACAAAACCGACTAAAGCAGATCTAGCAGGAAGTTGTGCCGCGGCAGCACTTGTGTAAGAACTATGCGTCTCACAAGCTACCCCTCGCATGGCTGAAGCATGGCGGAAGGATTCGGGGAATGACCCGTACTTCCATTCAAATTTGAAGAGAACAAGTGCACCTCAAACTGTGTCGCAGTCTCACCCAAGAAGCTCATTGGCATGGTGGTTGAAGTGGTTCTTTGCATACATTTAGTGGTTTGTTTTATTTGATGGCGGAGGGGGGGGTAGGCCAAAGACGTGAAGTGTCACTGCCTTGGGAACACGGGGTATTGGGTGATGTTTGCAGGGGTACCGCGGGGTTGACTCCAAGGAGTCTGGCAATGGTGAGTTGTAGTGGTGGCCTTTTGACATGGCCCAAAAGCAAATGCCAAACATAGTGCCCAAGGACAATTCGACAAGTGTTTTTTTTTTTTTTTTTATCTGCCGCCTTTACGCAGTGAATAAGAAGGATCATCTTTGCACCCACATGAAGCGACTCGACACACGTGAGCCACAAGCAAAACCGATTTTGAATAGATGAAGGTTGACAACTGAGGGAAAGTCCCAACCGCAACCGGCTGCCTCGCCGCCTTTTTGATTCTTGAAGCATGGCTCGGATCGACCCTTGTATCGATCGGTTTTGATTTGACATGGCTTCAAGTGTCCCTTATTGCGTTCCACATCCTTGGATCCCTTGAACAAGGTTCCCCAAAATTCGACACCTTGTGACCCAACCCAGGTCATTTTTTTTGCCACCTGGGGAACCCTTGGTATGGCCAGACAAACTGCTTATCTCTTCGACCCCTGGTGGAAAAGGGACACGAGATATGCATCCCATGTATCCTTGGATCCCTTTCCGTTTTTTCCTTGTGGTCCATGTTGGATCCCTTTCCGGTTCCCCCTTGTGGGCGACACCCAAAACACAGGTCGACACCCTTCGCCCCTTTTTTTCCCATAGGTGTCCTTTTTGGTTGTTTTGGTCGAAAAATAGAGATGGCCCATCTATTTGCTTTACCTGGTGGTTGTTTTCTCATCTACCAGGGCCGTCTGGGTATGGCTCAAAATTATGCCAGGGCACCACGGGTTTGAGTCCTTTCCTTTTCCAGGGCAACCCATTTTTTGTTTTTAAACCCACTTCTATTTCCCCAAGGACAGCTATGGGTTTTTCGGCCCATGCGGTTGGGAGGACGAGGGGCTCACCCGATTCAACGTGGAGACCACCTCCAAGAGCTTCATGCGCCGGCTCTCGATGCCGCTGGCCACGATGTTTGTTCAGCCCTGCCATGGTGGGTATCCATTTGTTTTTGTGTGTGCTTTTTTCAGCGACTGTAAATGGTGGCGTCCCAACTCAAGAAGATGCATGTCCTGCTCGAATCTATGGGGGTTAGGATGTATCGAGCATTTTAGGTTGCCTCGTGACAGGTCGGATAAAGTGTTCATTAGCTGATCCTTCTTGAGGAAACCAGGCTAGCATCGAGCAGATGCTGCGTGGCCGTTCAGCAAAACCCTTGTTTCTTCTTGCTGGAGGGTTTTGCCCTTCAACATCAATCAAACAAATGCCCTGTTGCCCCTTGGCCACAAGTTTCTGTAAGTCAGAACTGCTGATCTTGTTACGATGGTATTTGTTTCTTTGGGATTCCTTCCAGACACCATCCAAAAGACCCCCCAACGAACTGAGTTGCAGCACCCTTGGCAACATCCCAAATAGCTGGACATCTGTCTCCTTATCAGTATGTATCAAATGGTGCGCCCTCATAAATGGTAGTCATCCGATTGGTTTCCCTTCAAACCCACCCTGCCCCGAAAGAAACGCTTAACCACGGGATCCAGCCTCTCAAGGTTCATGCCCCTTCATGGCTATTTGGTAACGGATTTTTGGACTTTCACCTTTTGGGGAAACAGTGGAGACAGTAAGGCTTCGAGTGAGCACTTTTTGCAGGGGTCGTGACAGCAACCAAGACCCATACCATGCCAAAGCTTTCGAGCGTAGCATGTGGCCGTCTGAGGACTGCGCTGCTGCTATGGTAGCTTGGCACCGGGGACTTTGTGGGAGTTCCACGGGATTTCCTTCGAACATGTGGCCATCAATTTGAACTGTGGAAGCAATGCATCCAGTTTTTCTTTTCCTGGTTGTGGTTGCGAACAAATGCATCCAGTTTGTCGTATCCTGGTTGTGGTTGCAAACATCACTTTGTTTGCCAACGACTCAACACAGTTGTCTTTTGGCGAGGTGATGCTTTTGGGCAACTATGTGGAGAAACCTTGGCTAGTTTCAGGAAACACAGATGTTGAAGACAGCGGACTCTCAACTTGCTTGTACCCTCTAGCTATTTTTGTAAAGAAACACACACACAAACACAAACAAGCGTCGTGTTCATTGCTAGACTTGGCTTACCTTTGTAAATGTTTGTTTTTAGATTTCCATCATAGTACCTTTCAACCAGCCTTGTCCCTGAGTTCTCTTGGGGGCCCTCGCTTCCATGGAACCTTTCCTCTCGTGTCAGCCCTGCCAAAGATTTCGGACGTGGCCTTAGTGTCCAGGGCTTCCGTGTGCGCCAGCGGATTCCGAGTGAGAGCCGAGCCCGTGACGCTCTTTGCCATCTCACATGCCTGAATTGGCTGTGGCTCAAATAGATATGTACCAAAATGGCACCTTGGTAAATGGAACCAAAGACGAAAACCCGCGTCCCAACTATTTAATTTGAGCCACACCCAATTTGTGCCTTCCTTTTCCCTCCGTGCCACCTCCAAAGCCCGGTCGAGGATGCGCTTCGCTCTCGCACTGGCCTCCTCGCCTCTGCCAGCACTCTTGGCACTCGACGCTCCAAGTGGCAATGATCTTTTGTCGCGAGTTCGTCCTGCTGGGCTTTCCGTCTCACTGCCGCGGCGCTGCACACTTTTTGCTTCTTTCTCAGTTTCTCTGGATAGACGCTCGGCGTCTTAGAATGGCTCTCGTCTTCGACCCGTTCTTGCTTCACCAGTGTCATAGACCAGCTACCCTGCAGATTAGTTATTCTGAAGCCCGAGCCCTATTTTGAGGATCTGGTTGCCACTCCGTTTTGAGGGCCATGTCACAAAAACAGTTACCTTACCTTCTAGCCTGTTGGGCCATGACTATGCACCAAAACATCAGCAAGTTGAGCTTTTGGCGGGGCTTGTAACCAAGACAAGTCCAGCAGGGAGGATGCTGTTTCCGATACCCCGCGACTTTCATCATGGCCGGAGGTGCGCCGCCATAGCCATCATGCTGGTGCACGCCTGGTTTCAGCTGAAGCACGCCAGGCTCACCGGGGGGAGGGGGAGGAGGAGGAGCAGGAGGAGTTGTCCATCAGCTCAGAAATGAGATGGGCGCATGAGGGGGCAACCAATTCAGCGAACGGCCTCGCAAGGGTGCCGACCTGGCCCGTGAAGATTCCTGTCTTGGGGATATCTCAGGTGGGAGAATTGTCATAGTTCACTTGAACCCCTGCAAGTCAGGCCATGGGTGCTGGGCGAATGTGCATGTGCAGTTGATGCTCCTTTACGTACATTTCTCGTCAGTTGGGTGCATCCGGAACGGCACTTGTCAGAAGCCGAAGCACGCCATGGCTGGAAACCAATGCCACGGGTTTGCCCCATGTTAGCAATTTGGGTCTTCTCCGAAGATGGGGGACCCCCTTTGGACTGGTACTGCAAGGAGCACAAAAGGGAGGTCGCTGCTATTTGCAGAATGCTGAGTCACTTAAAGTGAACATTTTGAGGACTGTCAAATTTTCTTTGCGGGGGGTCCGTCGAAACCACCATTCAGGTCATTTTGAGTATGTCACTTTGATGGGCCCAGTTTGAAGCGGCGCCCATTTGAACCTGCGGCCGGTTTGGCACAGGTGGTTTGAGTCCATGCACCTGACCATGAAGGAGCCGGGGACTGTGGCCTGAAGGGTAGATGAGGATAAAGTGGGATGCGCCCAGGAAAGGAGGCCAAGCTCGGCTCTTTCTTGCAAGTGTTGTCAGAATGGCCGAACATGCGGGCATTTCTCCGAGCCATGTTTTGACTGTCGGCGTTTCGGCTGTCAGCCTTGGGAAGGTCCGGGCGAAGCATTGATGAGAGCCCCGGTGGATGAAGACCTGGTTGATTAACGAGGCGGTGTCAAGAAGCCGTCAGCTTTTGTTGCTACACCGAATCTGCCGCCAGCTGGATTCCATGCGGGGTCGGCAGTAGTGCAAATTCCCAAACAGCATAGGTGGTGGATCGAGAAAACCGATCTAACAAGTTCGGTGGTCAGAATCGAGCCAGCCCACGTACACTTCCAGTAGATATATAATTTAGTATTGGGTTGTGCCGGTCCAGTTCTGTTTAGATTTGGTTGAGTATCGTTTTGTATTTATCCAGTACTGCATAGACTTGGATTGGTACTGTCTTAGACTTGATTAAGTATGTTTTGGTTTACTTCTCGAAAACATATGGTTGTGTCATCTGCCCTTTGTCCTTTTCGCAGCGTGGTCTTTGCGATGTCTTTTGGAATCCGTCCCCATCTGCTAGTCGCGACAAAGCAGAATGTAGCAACTCCAGGGCCTCTCGCTGCAAACGGTCGGTGGCATGCTGCTTCACTTTGCAACCATCCCGCAAAGGGTGCGTAGTTCTGACACACGGCTAGTTGTTGTTTTTCCCTTTACAACGTGATATTTCATTATCAGGACCCATATTGAGTATGCGGGCCTTTGGAGGCGAAGATTAGTGATCATGGCGCCAAGTGGTCGTTGAACCTTCGCGCTGCTTGTTCCGGTGCACCCTCTGCCCCTTGCCCAATGTAGTCATTCCATTTGTTTTCAAGCAGTTGCCCAGCCAGAGAGAGAGAGAGAGAGAGAGGGGGAGAAAGAGAGAGAGAGAGAGAGACCAGGCTTCTACAGTGCTGCCGCCATTTCTGGCGTACGAGCGGGGTTTAGTACATGGTTAGCGAACAGGCGAGCTGGTTGAGTCTGCCTATCCAAAACTTTCATCCACTTGGCTGGCTCCGAGCCCTCACCACAGGAGAGGTGGAGCTCCCATTTGATCGCAGCAATTGGCCAAATGTTCTAGGGGACCCGCCTGAAAGGCAGTGCGCCATGTCCCGAGACCCCAAAGGACCAGGCCTTTTTGGAGTTCTCCACATGTTCTGTTGACAAGAGGGCTCAGAGTCGAAGGTGTGGAAATGATCTTGTCAGGACTTTGCCTTGGTGTTGCTGCTTGGATGCAAGCTGCGCCGCTTTGCAATGGCACCTCTAGGGGATGTTCCATCTGGGTTCCCCCAAAACTATGGCATTGGCCAGTTCTACCTGCTTGGCTGCTTTCCCTCCCCTGTGGAGGGTTCGCAGCGCCACCTTGGCTGGCCAAACCTTGCCCATTGCGGTGTACCCAGATGGGTCTGTCTTTTGTAGCGGGAACCATGGGACCCCCAAAACGGTAGTGTTGCTTGACACCACCGGACAAGGGACACCAGCCAAAATAGACACACCCACATCTACCGAAGACCTCTTACGATCAACCGGGCCTTTCTGTGCGGCATCGCAGCCCATTTCTGGGCTCCGTACCTTGGCACGATCATTTGAGCGTCACAACCCCCAGACCTGCGGCTCCCTTTTGGCCCGCCAATGGAGCTCGGGTTGGTTGTGGTGTAAAGTTATTTTGGCGTGTGGCAGTGTCTCGCAATTTGGACCGCAAGTGGCAGTTGCAGTGGCACCTGCATTGAATTGTTCTGAAACCATTGGTTTTTGGTTGTGCTCTTCCTTTTTTTTTCTGTTTGGTTTTCTTCTTTTCTTTTTCTTTTTTTAACAAAGGCACGCTTTGTGTTGCCGCTGAAATCCAGTGATCCCTCCTGCAAGCCGTCGGGCTCAGGTCTGGTCTGCCACCGGAGGCCACGGACGAAAAGCAGCTGGCGCGGAGACCCAAAGAGAAGGGCCATGCGAACTGCCTGGCGTGTCTTCCGGAAACGAAGTGGGTTGGAGGTATGTGTTGGGTGGCTCGTCTTTTTTGTTGGGGCACCCCTTTTTGGTTGGTCTTAGAGGGGGGCAGGAACAAATTGAGTCGGTTGTGGTTTGAAGGCAGATGTCAGGTAGGTGGGTGGGTTTTTGTCTTTTCTTTGGGGACCCCTTTGTGGTTGGTCTTTTACAGGGACACCAAGGAAAAAACACAGCCATTGGGGTCCCTAAAAAGAGAGAATGGGGGTACCAACCCCAAAATGGTTGGTGGCCTTTCCATTGAAAGCAGCCCCGAAAAGTTAACCTCAAAGACATACTTCTCCCCGACCTCTTTTATGGTATGGGAGCTAGCGGCCTTGCAAAGGGTTTTGCTTGCGAACGATGCACGCCATGATGAGTGTTCTTTACTTGGGTTTCATGTCTTATTTCGGTTTGGGAAGTGATATCTCACGCAGTTGTCATAAGTTCCGGTCCCATGATGTGCGCTGTATGCTAGGCTAGTTGGTATGTGAGCCTATGTCAGGGTGACTTCAAGTATCTTCAATGGGGCATGTTTTTCAAGGCTCGAAAAGAAGCGGAGCCAGACGCACATGAATTGTCTGGCGGGGAATTTTTTGTTGTAGACCCCTGTGTGGGTTCCTACAAAGGCTTTGTGGGGAGTAACCCACTGTCTCAGCAGGTCTTATTCCAAACTAGCGTGGTTGTTTGTGTGTGTGTGCGTGTGCGTGTGCGTGTATCAAACATGTGGCTCGCTTTGATCCCCTCGTGGCAATGACTCGATCGATTCGTTGGTCTCTACAATTCGCGTAACGTGTGTTCCCTCTTAGGGCAGCGCGTTTCATTTCTGTGGGCCGAGGGCAGCGCCACAATCAGAGCCTTTGATCTTTGGACCGGTAATACCCCAGCAAGTTTCTGGAATCGTTCCCAGAAGGCGCCTGGGCAGCAATTGTTGGGCCACTCTCGCAGGCGGAGTGCATCTCAAGCCAGATCGGTGCGGGGCCCTGGTCGCATGCCCTGGAAGTCTTGGCCCAAAATCGAGGTCCGCTTTGCGTTGCGAACCCCGGCTGTGTAAACCTAGTTCATGAATTGGGGGGTGTCCCATTCTAGATCGTAGGTTTTTACTTTTTGGGGGAGGCAGGGCCGAGTTTGGGCGAAGTTGAGAGAGCGACCGCAGAATTTTGAGTCGGTTTTGCCCATGTTCTGGGTGAGTTATAACGACCTCACACGACCACACCCCAAATGGTGGTTTATTTGGGGAATCGTCCCCACCTTATGTCAGCGTGTATTTTACAGCTCACTCAGGTCGGTTCCTTTCTTCGAGGTCGAGGGTGCTTTTCAGGCTGAAGTGTTGACTCAGGGTCCAAATTGAGCGCCCCTCGTTGGTTCCATTTCCAAGGTGGGCACTGACTCATGACTCAGCAGATGCCGGCGTGCGCACGTGAGGGTCATTTAACAGAGGGCGCAAGCGCAGATGTCACACACGCACACATGGCAAGCACACCAATCATGTCGTCTGGGGAAATATCATGAGGCCCAGTCGAGTACCACAACTCAAGGTCTGTCTCTTTTCCGCTACAATTATATGGCTGTTTGTCAAAGATAGGACCGTCTTTGAGACCCTGGCCACGTTTCGTGCCTTGCGGGGTCAGACAGGAGTCCATAAATATGAACACCCCTTGAGCATGGGCGTCCTTTTTAGGTTCTGATTAGAAGAGATGGCACTGTAGATGGGGTTTATGCCATCCATTTTGGGAAATCGATCTATCGCTACCAAAACGCCATGCCCGGGAGCTTGCGCCTTTCGAGCTTGCGGCTTTCGAGCTTTCGAGGCGAGAGCATCCGGGCGGTGTCCATCGGCTACGACATTTGCGATCGCTGGAACGAGGCGAGAAGAAATTTGGATGCGCGCCAAATTTTCCAGAACACTCGGTTACGCAGCTTTTCGTCTTTGGCTCCATTTGCCAAGGGGCTATTTTGGTACATATCTATATTTGAGCCACAGCCATTTCGATGGGAGCGAGCCGACGAGATGTCTAGGGGCACTGCTCCAATTGCGGGGAGACTGCGAATGGGCAAGATCCACTGCGCACCAGCGATGGATGAGACCCTATGAATAATCAGATACACCGCCCGCCAACTGGAGCAGGACTTTGTCCATCACGATGGGTATTCCAGAAATTGGGGGGCTCGGATGGCGGATGTCTTTTTCGGTTTTCCTTTCAAGACCATCCAACACAAGATCCCTATGTTTCTCCATGTTGCAGCAGCGGTTTGCTCTCGAGTAGAATTGGGTCAGCAAGATTGCGCAACTGTTTGCAGATATAGCGTGGATTTTGAGGCTATCCGAAAGGGATGGATGCGCGTAAATGCATTCCAATGTTAGGCTTTTGTTTTGTCACTCAACGCCTTTTCTGTCACCTTTGATTGCTTCTTGAATAGTGTTATCTAAGTATCACGGCGCCAGCTGGTCCTTGCGCGAAGCCAAGGGGCTACTGTATGTTCCAGATGCCCGCTTGGGAGGGATGCTGGTTGGGGTTGCTTGCAGGGGGGCTGCTTTGTGCGAGTGCTTTTAGGGGCAGTGATGAGGGGCAGAGCAAAAATCAGGTGCTCAAACGCAAGCGCATGCTTGGCTTGGTGAGCCCTGAAGTCATGTGTAAATTACCCGTTGCCTCCCCTTCCCTCCGTCCCTTGCAATGCAAAGGATTCACTCAAGAGTCACCAACAGATATCTAACACCAGTAAAAACACCAATACGTGCAACACGTATTTGAACCACTGTTCACTGATACACTCAAAAGTCACCAACCACATGCAACACACATATATATATATACATATACAACACCGCGTTTCAACAACCAGCTCTGGTCCAAGGATGGTGTTTAAACAACATCCTTGGCTCAGTGGCTGGTTGTTCAAAGATCAAACGCATTTCGCCCTGTGAGCCAGACGCAAGGTGGAGACCCTCCTGGACCGGCACCTGGCCTATTGCGACGCCCACGCCCGGGGTCATCCTGGGGTGGGCCTTCGACCACGCTGCCAGGCGCCGCAACCGCGTTTCCAGCTTCTCCATTCAGAGGGTGGGCTGAAGAAAACGAAAAAAGGCAAGGCGAAATGAGCGAAGGACCCACAACCAAAGGCCGAAATAGAACAAGACTAATAAATCTCGACCCACAACCAAATGACCAATTTTTGGGCCGAACGGACCTTGTTTTTGGATCTCGGGGGACTTGTGGGATCCTTGAAAGTAGAATGGGAGGTGGCCCCGAGGGAAGATGAACAGATTCTCTACAGCGATTCCATTTGAGCCATCAAAACCTGGATGAAAGTTGGCAGGAGTCAGTTCGAAACCTACGCGCGGCATTTTGCTTTCTTTACATCGATTTGGGTAGAACCCTGTAATACCTGGTTTTGACTCTGTCTCATTGAAGGCTGTAAGGGGTCGTTCCCAGATTCCTCCGATGCGACGAATCTGCTCTTTTCGCACGTAAGGCTGGATTGGGCTAGGGCGAGTTTCGGGAATGGCACCCCCGCAAGTTTTCCTGTCAGATATGGTGCAAGGGGGGCTTCCTTGGTCTCATGTATGAAGCTCATGTCCAGTTTGCGAATCATATGTGGGGTAACACTGTCAGGTACCCAAACCCTCCAAATTGCCCGTTAAAAGGAAGGGGTTCTAGCCCCAAAATGCCCCAAAAGGATGGCTTGTGAACCCCCTTTTTTTTCTGGGTAGTTTTTCCAGGCAGTGCCGCCCCCCCCTTTCCCCGGCCCCCTTGGGCTTTTAAAGGGAAGCCCCGGGCCTCGTTTTCGCTGGCGTCAGGCGAACCTGGACGACTCCGACAGCTTGGGCCCAGTGGCGCTGCAACGGAACCTCCAGGAGGAGCCCGGCGGTTGAACTCGGAGTCGGAGAACATCTCTTTGGGTTGAAGAAAAGCGCCAACAGCTCAAGAACGATGCAGAAGCCAACATAAGTCAACAATCACACATGTGCAAACTAAGCTCCAGAGCAGCGCAAATGCCAAACAAAGTCCATTAATTATGTTTCTTAAATTAGAGCAACACCCTTTCCCCCCTCCCCCTAAACATAAATATATGTATATATATATATATATTCCGTAATAATAATATTGGACATCTTTTTGGGTTCGAGCAATTCCATAGGGCAAACCCTCTTTTGATCCCTGCTTGAAGTTTGTTGTTTTGTCTTTCGTACATTAGGGCAACCCCCCTGTTGCCCCCTGCCCCCCAAAAAATGGAGAAAGTAGGGGGCCTGGGGGGTGGTCTGTTGATGGTTGCCTGTTCTGGTTTTTATGTTCATCTCAAATCTATGTTCCCCCTTATTCGTTTTTAATAGAGGGTTTTTGGGGAGCTTATTTATCGTTTTCGTTAAGGTAATCATTTGGGTAAATTGTCGCCTTGTTCATTGTTGGGCTAGGGGCAAACATTTTTTTCATTTGAAAGAGGTAGCCCTTTTAGTAGTTATCAAGTTCTGGGGTGTTGCTGGGTCGTTTGTTTTCTTTGACGTTTATCTCTACAATTATTTATTTTCGTTCTACACTCTTGACAATATTTATATCTTCTTCCACTTTTTACATTTCCAAATACCATAGTCTTCTTTTGCTTTTTCTATCATTCTATAATTATTCATTATAGTTTGCTTCACAACCATTCTTAATATATCTTAACAACTTCTTGTTGTGTGATTTTTATGTGATTGTCTAGCTATGTTTTATAGGTTAAAAGTTCGCTATAATTATAACATATAAGAATATAAAGGTTATAATTATGGTTTAGTTTTGAATTACACAGGTCTCGGGGTGTAAATTGCTTCATCTCATTCCTCCAATTGCAACACTCTAATTGTCAGAGCCTATTGTGTTAATTGCGCAATTTGGAAACCCCACCTAAATTGACCATTTCGGGGTTCTAATTGCGATGTTATGCAATTCCAATTGCGGTGTTATGCAATTCCAATTGCGGTGTTCAGCAATTGACACTGTTTCCCACCACAACAACAACCCCAACCCAACGTGTGAGTCCTGTTTGTCAGAAGGCACCTCCCTCGACGACTACAAGGTATCGGGCGGATAGGTTTTAACAAGTATATCACTAATCAAATCAGTAGGAATTTTATACAACTCATCTTGTTTATGTTTGATGTATCCCTCACCCCAATCTGATTTTTTACCCGATGGCAGTTTCAAAATGTTTCCCATTCCTAATTTTCCCACAATCCCTTTTGCATAATGGTCTGGGTTTCCATGTTTCAATGTTTGACCACAACCTCGTTCGCTTCCTGTAGTTCATGCCATATTTACATTAATCCACATCATAGTATTTCAACCCACTCATAAACGGTTGTTCCTTTAATAGTCCTGTTTGGGGATTTTCTATTATCCAGCATTTAGGCTTAAAATAATCTATAATTTCAAGGGTTTTTAAAACGATACTATTTGCATAATCAATCTTACGGACACCAGTAGTTTTAGCACGACTGTATTCAGTGCATGGAGGAGATGCCCACACAACATCAAACTCGCCCACATCAAACTCACGATAATCCCAACTCAAAATATCAGTATTGATATTTGCATTTTTCAAATCAAGGGAAATAACACTAAAACCCAAATCCCGAGCAACTGGACCAACCGAGCCTGTCCCGCTAAACATCTCTAATAATTTCATTCTTATTAGAGATATTTAGATATTAATATTTTCACATACATATCGTTGATGTTTGTCGCTTCGCTCGTGCCTTCTTATATCACATTTCCTAAAAACACCACCACATTCACATTCAATAGTTTCTTTTCTTTTTTCAAGGATTGTTTCTTTGTTTTGATGGTAATGTTCCCTACTTTTATCACATATATGTTCCTTGTTCTTTTCCGAGTATTCCTTCCTCATATTTTGATAGTGTTCCTTATTGTCTTCCTTCCACTCATTAATTGTTCTACCTGCCACACATCTATTCACACAATCATTATTTTGAATGTAATAACCTTCTCTTTTCAATAACTGTTCTCTGTTTTCACATGGGTAGTCTTCTAATAATTCAATCTTACAGTTGTCCATTCCATATTCATCAAACAACAAACGACAGTTTGTTTTATTATTCCATTGTTCTGCCTTGTTATAATTTTGTCTATGTCTTGCCATTCTTCGGCTCAAGCTTTCACAGGTGCTTCCGATGTAGCACTTATTATAACCTATATCAGTTATTTTGTAAATCTTTGCATTTCTATATTTACTGCTATCCATTAATAACCTAATGTATCTTTTCTTTAACGCAGTTTATAATGTCCATAAGGCAGTGAATTGAAAGCATCAATGTAAAACCTTTTATTTTCATAATTACTGAGTGATTGCTTGACTTGAGACATTGAAAATAATTGATGGTTGCGACTACGAATAAAATTATATGTTATTTCATGCTTTTTGTTTTGAAATAATGCTTCGTGGTAGTTTTGGTAAGTCAGTTCTTTCTTCACCTTGTGTTTCACTACGCCTTTTGATTTCTTTTGTTCTTCTTCTTCACCGTGTATTGTAAAAGCATACGATTTGGGCTTTAACCCTATGAATTGTGTTATTGTTTGACCGTTGCACTCATCCTTGAAATAACCGAGTTTTTTCTTATTTGTTTTGTCATGGCAGGGGTGTTCAGGTGGATAATCGCTAAAGTCCATATATTGGTTTAATTCTTTGAAGTCCTTGTAGATGTCCTCAGTGAATGTTTGAATTACATAACTGTCAGTATCAGTATAAACCAGTTTGATGTTTTCATTGTATTTCTTCTTAAGAACATCATAGTAGAACTGATACATATGTAATTTACTGATGTCAAGGATTGTCATTCCTAAGAAAATCGGTTTGTCCAGTTTCAGTTTCGCTTTAGTTTTTTCAACTCCTACAAGGTTTTCATTAATAATAAATCTATTTTTGAATGTTGGATTATTAACACATTTTTCATATCTTACCTCATTATCAACTAATTCAAAGTCCATATGATTTCGTTTGTCTTCCATAGTTTTTCCATACACAGAATTGTTCATTAATTTGAATAAATCTTTCTCAAAATCGCTTTTGGCTTCTTTCCTTTTACCAGTGTTGAAGTCAATCCACGGTTTCAACCATGCCCTCTGTTGAAATTTGATTATCCTATGGACTTTACCCATTTTCATTCCCATTTTCAAATAATACTGTAAAGTCTTGATATGAACCACATATTTTTCTTTATCCTTTAGATTTAATATTAACTTACTTGTTTTCTCGTCCTTGGGACTTTTACCATCATAATATATTTTGTAGACTTGCTTTTGATAATCGGAAAGCATACTAACATTTACATTCATTATTTCAGGCGCTAGTGGATAGTCAGAGTGGAAGTCGTGCAATGTTTCGGGATATTCCAAATCAACTTCCATAATATAACCGAACTCATCGTTTTCATTCCATTTTTCAACAATGGGAGTTTTCTTTGTCCACTTGATATTTTTTAGCGGCAACTTCTGGGACATTGCTAAACCATACAAGTTATTAGCATCCAAGTAACTAATATAATTTGATGGCTTGTTCTCATCATATGCTTCCTCCATATACTTATTATTTGCCACTGCTAATTTATGACTGACTTGACACATACCACCTCTCATTCCCTTTTCAACCATCTCAAACATTTCTTGGTCATGCAATTGTTCTATTTCAACGCCAGTTTTTAGAAGCATCGCGTCCCATGCGAAATTTGGCAATGTGTAATAATGAGCGGGGTCTAAACCGTAGTATTCCATACACAAGTCTCTAAAGTTTTCAAATACATCGGTCAGTAGTAAAACATCAGTTCTTAAATACAAGTCGTGATACTGCCCGAGTGTTCTAATCCCGAAGTGCTTCCATACTTTCAGTGCCCTTTCATAATCTTTATCGCTTACATGTTCTTCACTCAATTTACTGTAAAACGCTTCTTTCGGTGGTAAAGCCCTTTCCTTAAATCTTTCAAAATCATCAAAGTAGTCATAGGGATAAATACCCTTATCAGTCAATAAATCCAAATCTTCATCGGTTTTAACATACGGGTTTCTAACGCTGTATCTGAAATTGTTCTTCCAATTCTCACGCTTTTTATCATCCTCATATTTACTCAACCTGACCAACTTATCCAACGAAGACGATAAGAAACTGAAACTGTCCTTGAAACAAAGATTTTTAAAACCAAAGGTTATAAACTTTTCGCTGTTCTGAGCGATACATTCTATTTTAGAATTCTTGTTCAGTTCGTGAGCCTTGTTGATGATTAAGTGGGCATCGTAGTTTTTAAGATTATGAAGAAACACAGGGATTTTATAATATCTCATACTAAATCGTAGATTGCAGTCCTCGTGGGCGCATCCTCTATACTGCCCCGTAAAGTGGCAATGGTCCCAACACTTCTTTTCTCCTTCCTCAAATTTGTTTCCACAAATGAAGCAGTTAGTGGCATTATTGAAGTCCTCCCAGTCCTTCTCGGTTTCAATACGGTCTTTGTCCTCCTTCATTTTCTCCAAAACTTCCTCTCTGACTTTATTGATTTTCTCAACAAATTTATCCATACAATCCTGACCTCTATATAAGTAAGGCTCACTACTTCCGGTTATAGCATTGACTACATTAATCATAAAACCACACGGACGATGATTTTGATATGATGTAGTTTTAGCTTTTGCCGATTTGCTTTTAACATCAATTGGCACAGTTAAACATTCAAAGTCGGCATAGATTACGAATGGAGCTTTAAGTTTCTTGAAATGGTTTTTGAATACTATTGTTTCACCTGCTTCTGGCATTTCTATTTTTTGACCCTCAACTGCTAGACATCCTTGTTCTTCGTGTTTCTTTAAAAGTTCTTC